TCAGTAATGACTGGCCCGTTCATATCATCTGAAGTGCCATCTTTGTTTACCTGTTTTGCATGAGGATTCATGGGAAAGCTGACATTGTCAAGCACAGAAGGGAACAGAACAGATGCATCAGAGTTTGGATGTTTGTTATGCTGTGCTTCTTTGTATATAGACAAGCACTTATCGGTTTGCCTCCTCAGACGCTCTGGCATGTATTCCAATGGATTTAGAGGCATGCAATCAGTGTCCTGCCAATAAAGGGATTTGTTAAATTCTCTGAGGTATGATTGAAGAGGAAAAAGTTTGGGATCTTATTATCTACAAAGCATAGAGAAGTGAATCATGTCAACAGAATTGGTATAGTCTGTGAATTACCATAACTAACTCGATGCCCAGTTCATCAAACATAACATTGCACTTATTATGGTCCACGGTAAGAATCTTGCCATCACGAATTTCCCGTGTTCTAGGATGGATGGCAATGATTCTATTCCCCACTGACAAAGGCCGAGCCAAATCTGTAGGAAGCCCTTCCTTAGCACCTGTACGGAGTTCTGTATAGTGGTTTCTCACAGATTCACGATATTGTTTGAGTTTATCCTGCTCTTCCTGTATGAATCTCTCAGAGAATCTCCGAGGTCTACCAAGAGAACTGCAAAAATACAGAGTGAGTAATCTTCTTGATTCCTATATATTTGTTGGGCGCGGGCGCAGTTCCATTAACATAAAGAAAGGAACCGTAACAAACCTTTTAATGACGCTCCATTCAAGACGAGTAAGTCTTGGAACGTGAGCGAGCCCAACATGATTTAGATAATCAATAAACTCCATCTTTGCAAACCAAGGATAATCAATAGCACTATAGAACCACTCATATATGCACCTTCGACGGGCCAATGGATTTGACAGAAAAGTCGAAACCTTCTCCTGAATAACAGAATAAGCAATTAAAGACGAGATTTTGGATAGGTATAATAGAAATGAAGTTAGAGCTCCACCTTTAATAATTCATGTTCTGAAGGAAGTTCGTAACTATGTGGCTTGTCATGAGTGGTTTCAGAAGGATTAGCTCTTTCTTGTAAACTTTTCTTCAAACTCATCTTGCGCCTGTTTGGAGGTTTCTGTGGCAAACTCGCTGAATCCAAACATGGAACTTGTGTAGCTGACTCCATTGCATCCTGCCCAGTTTTTTTCTTATCACTAGTTGTAAAAGATTCTTCCAAGGTCTTAGCAGTTTTCTGCTGTTTTACTGGACCTTGACCAGGACGTCTGGTCTTGACCACAGTCTTCATATTCTCATCTTCAGCCGATTCCTTCAACGCATTAAACAAAAATCATGAAAAGAAGGGCAAACCAAAATTACGTGGAGCAACTTTGCCAAAAATTCTAGAATTGCATTGTAGACGAGCAACCACAGATCACAGGGTAAGATTAAATCCAAGCCAAAATTAACCAAAATAGAAGAAAAAATATTTTGCAAATACCTTAGTATATATAGATATGTCTGGCATTGAATCTGTAGGAGCTTCACCATCTAGCACCTGAAATTGAAATGTAATGTGCATATAGCTAAGTAATGCACAGAGGAACAAGATAGTTAGGAAATCAAAGAGAAAACTGCGTTGCAAACCTTTAGTTTACGTTTTCTTCTTGAAGGCTCCCTTATGGAAACAGAATTACCATCAACCGATGCCTGCGCAGACTTCGGTCTTCTATTATCACCAGCTGAGATTTCATGTAAAAGAATATCTTTTGGTCCTGCTTGGTTTGCTTTTTCTCTATGATGGCTTGTGGATGTCGTTTCCGGAATGTTGTTCTCATCCATGTTGTTAGCTATTCTTTCTTCTTTCAACTGTGCAGCTAGTTCTGGATCCACCGCAAAACAGTAGAAATAAATAAAGAGAAATATATTGATGTGAAAGGTACCTGCAGATGTTTATTAATGGTTCTCTTTCTTTTGGACCCATACAATGGACATCCTCAATGAGAAGAACCCAGTATATAAAACCATTCAACGCTCACCTGATTCCATCAAACCAGCCAGAGGCGCTGAAGCTAATTCAGCCAATGCTTCCAGAGCGTCTAATTCATCATCTACACAGGAAAAGACGAGAAGTTTCAGACTCTGATAACTTAACAGTTGCAAAAGACAAATGCCCCTGGATATGTAAGACAACGTGGCATAGATAAATAATCAAAGTATCACTATGATAAAAAGAGGGACTATCATTGGACCTCTGAAGTTTTCCCAATTTAAGTTATTATTGGTTTTTACCTCTGTAAAGAAGTTTCTTATTTCCTTTCTGCGGTTTAGCTCTGAGTCCCTCATTGGCACTGCATGCTACTGCGCTGGCATCAGAATCATTTCCTTCGGCTTCTTCGAATCTCAGTTTTTCCCCCTTCCGGGAAACCTCCATATCCAACAAGGCATCATCTCTATCAGATGCTCCCTTTTTATGCCTCTTACCGCAGCTTATTCTCATCCCATCCTCAAACATGGAGCTATCACAGTACTTGGATTGAGCTTCCTTTGCTTGGGACTGATAGAAGCAAGAAAAGTAGAAATATGTTTTCAATGTATCATGACAACACTGAAAAGAAATTATGATAATTTTGAATTTCTAGAGCTATCAAGATACCATTTTCCCCAGCCTAATTGGTGTGCCGTCACTGAGTTCTAGTCTTCTCGTTGCAGCCATTGCTAATGCTAGAATATGCCCTTCATCATCATCATCAATGGCATCCAGTTGTTTCTTGGCTCTTTTATTTGATGGAATAGAACATTCTCTATCATCCCTCTGGTATGTAACTGATACAGGAAACCGAGGTGTACGTTTCCTAGCGGCACGTCGTTCCTTTCCTACATAAAATAAAATAACCAATTACACATTCTTGAACATATCCATTTACATGTATTTGTTACGCTTCACCGGATTCTACAAGACATGGTTATCCTTCAACTGCTGGGAAATACAAAATTAAGATAAAAGGCAGCTATTTGTTCATTTGGTCACCAATTTAAACAGCAGAGTCATCATTTGATTTAGCATCTTTTAAACCATAGATTTTAGAAAAATGATTAGCTGCAAATACTGATTGTACCATTAATTTGTGTCTGCCTCAAAAATGAGAGGCATCCTTCTGCTGATGCAAATGAATGTGGTGGGATAACTTCTTCTCGAGAATCACTAGGCAGAATTTTAGCATGTTTGCGCTTCTGATGTTTCCTCCGTACGCCTGAAGCATCACCGCG